TAAGCAGCGTTCCTCCATGGCCTGTGCTCCAGCTCCTGCTTCCAGGTTCCTGCCCTGAGTTCCTACCTTGGGCTCCCTGATGAACTGCGACCTGGGATATGCAAGCTGAATAAATCCTTTCCTCCCCAAGTTGGTAGTGGTCAGAGTGTTTTGATATAGCAATGAAGAAACAAACCAGAACACTGGGTAAGCACTACCAACTGAGCGACACTTCCAGACCCCCACTTCCCACTTCTTTGATTCTTTTTACAGAGAAAAATTCATGGAAAAGTTGTCTACACTCATGATCTTTCTAGAATGCCATTGTTTTATTTTTTAAACTTTAAAAAAAATTATTATTTTTATTTTATGTGTATGCATGTATTGCCTGCATGTAAGAAGTGCACCCATGTCGTGCAATGCCCTCAGAGGTCAGAAGAGACTATCGGATCCCCTGGGACTGGAGTTACAGACAGTTGTTAACTGTCATGTGGGTGCTGGGATTCGAACCTGGGTCTTCTGCAAGAACAACCAGTGTTCTTAACCCCTGAGCCATCTCTCCAGCCCCATGTCATTCTTTTTTTTTTTAATTTGATATTTTTAAAAAATGTGTATGAGTGTGTTGCCTGCGTGTAAGTGCATTCATGTAGTACAATGCTCATGAAGGTCAGAAGAAAGTGTTGGAGTCCCCTGGAACTGGAGTTACAGATGGTTGTTAGCCACCATGTGGGTGCTGGGAATCGAACCCGGTTCCTCTGCAAGAACAGCCAGTGCTCTTAACTGCTGAGCCATCTCTATAACCCATAAAGTGCCATTCTTTTTAGAAATCTATACACATTTCATTCTTTCTAGAGACGATTCCAGTCAGGTTTCCCATTCACCTCTTGCCTGAACCATCTCTTACCCAAACAGTGTCTACATTCATGGTGTTGAAACCAATGACCTATTATGAACAAGTGCCTTACTTGAACTATTAATAGCTGCATTTGGCAGCAATGGGCCATCCTTCTCCCTGAGAGATGCTCCTGGTTTTCCAGCAGGTGACTTTCTTGACGCTCTGTCACTCAACCCTGGTCACCCCAGCTCCTTCTCCTCAGGATCGTTTGTTGCTTTCTTGACTTTAATACCAGGGCACTTAAATCAGTTCTTGGCCCTGAACATTCATTCCCTAGATGCTCTCACTGAGTTCTGAGGTTTCATCCATTCTGAGGACCCCCATAACTCCACTTCCAGCCTTATCACAGCCACCAGACTCTAAACTTCTATAGCCAATCTCCTCCTGCTCAGGGATCCACCACATTCCTCCCTTCACATCTGGCTCTCTTGGCATCTTGAGATTCTAAAAGTTTTTTGAGAAAATAAGAGATTAGAGATCAGCGAAATGTTGGCAGTTCTACCTTGTAAATTTTTTTTTTTTTTAAAGAAAACAAGTGCATTGAGTACCCTGCAATGGGCAGCAGACTGGGCAATAATAACATTCCGCCTCTGGCCTCTACCTCCCTGTTACTGCCCTGGACTGAGCTCCCACCCAGCCCCACATTCTTTTGACTAGGTTCTATCTTTCTCTCTTTTCCTTCCTTCCTTCCTTCCCTCCTTCCTTCCTTCCTTCCTTCCTTCCTTCCTTCCTTCCTTCCTTCCTTCCTCTCTTTCTTTCTTCCTTGCTTCCTTCCTTCCTTCCTTCCTTCCTTCCTTCCTTCCTTCCTTCCTTCCTGGGTCTTACACATGAACTATATTCCCCAGCCCATTTTTATTTGTTTTCAATTTTGAGATGAGTCTTGAACTCACTCTGTAGTTTGAGATGCTCCAGCCTCAAAGCTGGGATAACAGGCTCAGCTTTACTAGACTAATATTCTCTCTCTCTCTCTCTCTCTCTCTCTCTCTCTCCCTCTCTCTCTGTATGTGTATGCATAGGCACAAAATGAGTGTATTGGGATTGAACCCAGGGCCTACATGCTAGATAAGGGCTCAACCCTTGTACTATGTCTTCAACCCAACTAGATGATTTCAAGAGCCTCTAACTTTGGGCTAGAGAGATGGCTCAGCAGTTAAGAACACTGGTTGTTCTTGCAGAAGACCCAGGTTCGAATCCCAGCACCCACATGGCAGCTAACAACTGTCCAGAACTCCAGTCCCAGGGGTTCCAACAGCCTCTTCTGACCTCCTTGGGCATTGTATGACATGGGTGCACTTACCTACATGCAGGCAATACAGGCACACACATAAAATAAAAACAATAAAATAAAAATTAGAAAAAAGAGCCTCTAATTTTGTCCCTGTTGAAATCCTTGGGCCTGGTTTCACACCACAGCCACAGTGACTTTAAAAATGTCAAAGCTTGTCCCTTTTCTGCCCCAAACTGTGTAAATAGCTAGTCAGGCAGAGTAAGCACCAAAGTTTTCACACCAGGCTCCAGGTCCCCCCTCCTCCCTGCCTAGTCTCTTTGGTCCCGATGCCCCTCTGCCTTTCCACACACCAGCTCACAGGCCCTCACTTTCTTCAGGGAGCTGCTCACTTGACAAACACTAGAAACAGCAACATCATGCACCCTCTTCCCTCCTCACCCACTACTGTTTTTCTCCACAGCACTTTAAACTATTCATTAGAATATATTATTGTTTGTTCTCTTTCTCACGGGAACAAGAACTGTTCAGCTCACTGCCCCACTACCTAGAACTGTGCCTGTATTCTGTAATTGTTCAAATGCCCTGATAAATTACAAATATAAAGCAAAGAAACACGCGTACTGCGTTTTTATGTACCAGACTGTTGTCAGCCCTTTGTAATGTGGTATTTCATTCCTCTGCATGAACCTATGGCAGGCACTACTAGTTATCACTGCAATTTTTTTTTTTTTTTGAGATAGGGTTTCATGTGACCCAGGCTGGTCTGTAACTTTCTCTGTATCACCTTGAATTTGTAATCTGTATTCATCTCCAAGTCCTGGGATTACCAGTATGCACCACCACACCCAGCCTCTCACCCCCTCCCCCATTTTAATGCATGAGGTAGCTCAGTCAACAAACAGCCCATGGACACTACTAAATGATGGAGCTGGAATGTATGTATGTATGTATGTATGTATACCTTTTGTTTTGTTTTTTTTTTGAGACAGGGTCTCCTTGTATTCCCAGTTGGCCTGGAACTCACTATGTAGACCTCCATCTCATAGAGATCCGCCCGTCCCTGCCTCCTGAGTGCTGAGATTAAAGGAGGCACCCTCACACTATGCACCATTTATTTGTTTTTTATTTTGTTTTTTGACAGCATTTCCCTCTGAAGCCTAGGGTAGCCTTGAACTCTAGGCAATCCTGGCATCTCAGCCTTAGAGTGCTGGAATTTCAGACGTACCACCACATCTGGCTCTAGAGTTGGGTTTAAATCCAGGCAGGATGCTATTTCTCTGGAACATTTCATCACTTTCTTTGCTGTCAGGAGATGCTAAAATGAAGTTACATGCTCCTCCTAAGTATGAAGGAATCAGTTTGTACAAAATCGGCTCCTGAGCTGTTTGCAGAAATAAAGCTTTTGACAGTTGATGGTGACTGGGGGAGAAATAGTCGGTTTTTTTAGGTGAGGGGGAATGGTGTAGTCACTAGTAGGTTGCCCATACTTCTGTGAATGGCCCCATTATCCATGCACGTAAGGACAGCGCTAATTGGATGCAGTGGGATATAATAACAACAAAATAAAAATTAGAAGAAAAAAGAAAACACGAAGTTGGTAGGATGTATTAGTAGGGGTCTGTGGGAAGTTGGAGTAGGGAAATGGGGGCAGATGTGATTATAATACATTGCCTACGTGAATGAAATTCTCAAAGAACAGATTTAAAAGAAAACAAAAAAGAGTTGAGGGAGTGGCCGTGTGTTCCTCCAGGAAGAGGACTCAGAGCAGAGGCTGAGTACCAACCAGCCAGCCAGGGCAGATAGGGGAAGAGGGTATAGAGGAAGTGGTCCTGTCTTCTGTTCATCTCTGCGGCGAGTTCGGCGCGCTGAGTCCGCCAGGCCGCCGGGGGACGCCTGAGGCCGCAGAGGGCGTTGCGGCGACAGCTAACGTCGCGCCTTCGGCGGCTGCGCAGAGCGCACGTCAAAGCCGGGCTCAGGCAGGAGCTGGGCGCTGGGCGCCGGGAGCTGGGCGGCCTGAGAGACTGAGGCTTCGGGAGCCGGGCGGACGCGGAGGCTGAGGCAGCGCCGGGCTTTGAAGCCGCAGCCGGAGCCCGAGCGAGCGCAGTAGCGCGGCGGCCCCCGCGGGAGCCCCTGGGCCACGGTCCGCCCGCGCAGCCGCCGCGGGAGCCA